TTTACCTGATGTAAAGGATCGCACGTTATCCGCAGCTGTACAAATATGGACTTCCTTTTCGGAACCACAACTAGCTCTTTTCTAGCTGTGGTTAAGGCCGAGGGAGGGGCTGAATGAAGTAAACGCTCCGACTATTTCAACATGCTTAGATGCAGTCGAAGTAGTGGTAGGAGAAGGGGAAGGTGCAGAGGGAAGTGGACTTGAAGTCGGATTGTTTGCTACTTCTAATGTCTTAGCGGTAGCTGTAGAATTTATCAAGTCTTTACATAAATTATAAATGTATTTTTATTAATGAATTTATATGAGCGTTCGAAGCAGTAACTGGATTTATACCTATACTATCGTTACTATGTTTTCGCTTCTTGTACCCTGGGTTTATTTTCGAGGAATCAGAGGAACCAATGCATTTAAAAGATTTAAATGCGTCCTCATATTTTTGAAATTATTCGGTAAGGACTTTCAAATCCTTCTCATTTAGCGTGGGCTAACTCATCGCAAAGCCAACAAGAAATATGACGCTCGGCATCACTTTTCAAAATACTCTTTTCGAACGAACAGGCCATCTTTTACATAAAATAAAAGTAATAAAAATAAATATATAAAAGGAAAATAAAAAAACTAAGAGTTAAAGAAGTACAGAAATAAAATAACTTAACAAACTTAGAAGCAAGCGAAATAGCACAGTTTAAAAGGCAATGTAATAAAACCACGATCAGCTCATACTTACAGTACAGACAGAGTGCTCTACGTTTTACTTTTACCATAATGTAACGTTTGTTCTTGAACTTCAATAAGGTGTAAAACTATCAAATAGTAAAGTAATTGTAATTAACATCTAAGTCAAGATCGAACCTTTGATATAATTAGTCATGCGTCAGTAGTCACCCAAGAAGAAATGAAATGAAGCAATGGAGAAATAATGCACACTTCAACGTGAACCAGAAATTAACCAACAAACATTTATATTGTTAAGTGCAATGTAATAATTTTAATCATCTAAAATACTGTCTATAATATAGTGAAACGGTATAGATATAAATACATAAGAATGTTGGTAGGTATGACATCCCAGCAGCAAAAGAAAAGGCATTGGAAGCGAAGGGGTAAATTGGAAATAGCATTATCGCTAAAAGTTAACACGGTATTGTCATAGCAAGTGTAAGGGCTGACATTTTCCTTTCCAAATCCAATTCCGAGTAAGAGAAGCATTCCTGTGTTTTTTTCTTGTAACCTTACTACTACGCATACCAGGAAAGTGATTATTGCAGGTACAGTCAAACCTGGATTTAAGCCGGAATAGCACTTAAAAGAATTCAGCTACCGTACTTACGTTCTGTTCGTTAAAAAAGCCATTAAAAATAAAAATATTTAACCTTTTCAAGTTTTAATTAATAAAAATAAAAAAATAAAACTATGCAGCTCTTTAGCATTATTAAATGTTATTTAAAAAGCAAAGACTTTAAAAATATTTTAAATTATTTGCATTATACGCAATGCAATACTAAATTTCGATTAACAAAGGGTAATTTTTTTTAGAACCGTTTGAATGTTTTTTTAAACAACTTTTCTTCTAAACTCCCAATTGCTTCTTCGATTTTCTATTTTTTTTTATAAAGATTTTGTGAATACTAAGCGGATCTCGGATTGGTAACGATGCTGAAAATTTTTGACATATAGAGAATAATTGATTATTGACAATGTCATATTGGGAGAAATAACATAGAGGTTTTTGAAGTGGTACATAAGAGGTGAAATTTATAAGTAAATGTTTGAATGAAGCAGATAAGAGATTTTGACACTTAAGTGGGGTGGTATTTGATCGTCATTGACTGTACGTAAATTATAATCGCGAGTTAGTAACTCATGAATTGCTCCTTTTATCATTTATGTTTTCTTACCAGGGAATTTCGCATACTTCGTTTCATATTTCGTATCCGCATCCGTATTTCCATACTAATTTGTTTTATAGAAAATTAATCTTATTAAAATTCTTATCAAAAATTACTGGTACTAAAAAGCTGTATAATAGATCTCCCTTTAAATAGTTCTTATTTGCTCAAAAGACAGCGTTTTCTGCAACAACGAATACGCACGAATAATTTTTTGCTTATTGGTTTTCTCTTCTTTCTTGAGAGTTTTTCTTTGCATCTACTCTTTGAGAATAAATCTTAATTACCTCTTCGCTTCCAAAGGGTAAGACCTTAACAATTTAGTAACCGTGTTGCCTATAATTCGCAGTAATAATATACAAAAGTATTATTTTACCATTAGTAAATTTTGTATACTTTAAATAATAATTGTAATTAATATTAATTTATTCAATTTTTATATTAAAACGCAGAATTCAAATATTGATAACTTGTTAAGCGAAAGTCCGTTGCAATAAATATAAATATAAAATAAGCAGTAGGCGAGTTAGTATTATATACCATGCGATAAAATTTATTTCCAGCTTCTTCCTTCCTTGTCTCGTTGTTGGAATGGCTGCGGTCTCTTATTCTACGAGTACGTAAGCCGATACTCGTATGTACGATGATGTACATAATTTTGTATGTTGAAAATGTGCACATTAACAGTTGAATTTTCAATAGTAAATGACTTTGTTTTAAAATATTGCAAATAAACATAACTTATGCTTATGCATTCATATTTAGATACATACATGTTAAGTTCATTCAAAATAAAAGTAAAAAATTAATTTAAAGTAAAACTATTTGTGCACATATTTTAAATTAAATTAATTATTATCGGAAGAAAGAAGTGCTTGTCGTTGAACATTTGCCAATCTATGTATGTACATACTCGTATGTATGATTGACGCAATGTACATATCTGCGCATACAAGTATAAAAAACATGTATTAATAATAATATATCTCAATTTAATATTATTATTGACACTCAAACGTTTAACTAATGTACAAAATATGTTTATGGAAATATATGTATGTACATGTTATTGAAAATAATTGGATATGTCACAGCTCTTGTAAGGCCTCCTATTTTCCTTTCCGAACACATTTTGTAGTAAGGGAAGATAATGATTCGTGTACTGCCAATTTCATTAATTATATTATATTGCAAGGGATTTTTGAATAAAATTGTTTCATATTTGTATCAGCATTTAGACAAAACAATTGAATGTTATTAAAAATATTTATATACAGGTATGAAGGTAATGCCTTACCAAATTTGTCTTAACTTGAACAGAGAAGTTTTCGAGAAGAACGTTTTACTATTCTTATAAGCGAAAAGAGAGAAAAATATGCACAGCTTTAGACAGAGCAATAAGTAGAGTGCTTGGCTGCATTAAATTGGCACCGATGCCGAGAAGAAGAAACGTGTAGTTAATCTTTGTACTATAATTATACTGCGAAAGTGTCCATGACTCTTTAAACCTGAGTTTAGCGACAGTAGAGTTGTCATGAAACACAATATGAATGTTGGTAGCATATACAATATGCTTTAAAGATGCCTGCCACTACAAGTTTGAGTTCGTATTAGAAAAGATATACTTCAATACAAAATGTTCCATTCATAATCTACACACTACTTTCTCAAAAATCGGTCGCCCATCGTTAGAGAATATATCTTTATGATATTAAAATAACTCAATTACTTTCGTGTTAAAGTTATATATTTTTTGAGCATCTTCACTCTTGTAGTGGCGGCGATGGTGGCTGTACAATCCCTTTGTCTTTTCGTAAAATTTCTGGTTTTAAATATATTGATCAAAATTCAAAACAAGTCGAATCCTTACCTGGGTATTCAATTTATATATATATTTTTTTTTTGTCAAGAATTCCGACCTTCCCAAATTTACTTCGAAATGCATATGAAAATATTAATGCGCTAGTATTTACGTGTATGAGATAATTGTACTTTTCAATAAGTAACTGGTTGTGGAAGTTGCCTGTCATTAAGGAGGCTAAACTCGTTTTTTTAAATATAATATATACCCTGGTGATGGTTGTGGTACCCTCACTCTGGATTGTCTGGCATAGTAAAATCAGTCGCCATGGTAAAATCAGGCGCATGCGCCGCCCAAAACATGTAATAGATATATGTACGTGTGTATGTATGTATGTGCAAGACTTAATCATCCCTCCGTAATCCATATTCACTGTGCACTTGTTACACCCAAAACACTAACTACCCCCAACAAAAAAGACGACCACGGAGACAAGCCACCATTTCTGCATCACAATCATCAACCACCAACAGCCACTAGGACAAAAACACAGACTTAACCGTGTACAAGTATATTTCTATTTATATGTATATATGTGTGTATGTAAATGTATAATCGTTTATTCTGCAATGTTTAGACCATTTGGTTCATTTTAACTCCGTATAGACATTATGCACTTTTGTAAAGCGGCAGTGGACCAATATATATCTTGATATCAGTGTATTGTTAGCCGACGATTAACAGAGTTGTAACGATAGTGATCTATATGAAGTTTAAGTGCGCAATTAGACTTACATCGACGGAGAAGCATAGGCATATCTAGAACACTGGATGCATGTCTTCCGTATGGCACAGCATCTTCGATTTAGTTACAAATTCTTCCATCAGGGGACAACTTGATGAATTGCCTTATGCTGCAATCTGATACTACGGATAACAATATTTCGGGTTGGACGAAGTCCATCAGCCTCAGCCCATTGAAGATGTTTCGTCATGGTCGCTTACTTTTGCGCCAGATCCATTTCCCCACTTGCATAGAATCTCCATTCAAGAAGTTATAAAGTTTGATCGAATAGATTCCGAATGTATTTTGGCCACAGATTTTTGTACTTATATTGTATATGAGGATAGGTTAAATGTACAAGTATTTTCGAACAACTTCAGTCCTTGGAATACCCCTATATACGAAATATATGTGGATTTTTGTTTAATCCAATCTACGTTTTCTTTTTTGTTTTGTCGATTATAATTATTGTAAATGATATCAACAAGTATTTATGTATACAATGCTATCAATTTTTTTTTTGTAGGCAAATAAAATCGGTTTGTCGCCCTTTTTCTGTCATAATGGCGATCCGCTTACAACACCTCCACCCGCGCACTGTGGCATACCACCATATCAGCTGGATCCCAAAGCCATGGGTAAGTACTCACCATATTCGAAGTAATGTTCTCTACTCAAAATTATATGCTGTATATATGTAAATATTTGCCTGCATAACTGGCTTGAAAGTTTGTGTGGGTTGACGAAAATTCACCATTCTTATAATGCTAAATATGCGTGTATATAAGGTTTTCATGGAATCCCGAGTTCCAAATATATTAAAACTTACAGCAATGTCTGTTATTTATAAAACAAATTCACATTCGATATAGAAAATTTTCACGAGTTGCTACTTGCAAGTTTCTTCTTCTTCTTTACTGGCGTAGACACCGATTACGCGATTATAGCCGATTTACAACAATGAGGGACTTGTAGAGTTTGGTTTTCGTTCGGGACTTTACTTTTCAATTGCCTACTCAGTTCAAAGTAGCACCTGTTGGCAAGAGTGATTCTGCGCTGGTTTTCAAGGCTGACGTTATAATTGATGTTAATGCTGGTTCTAAGATGGACGAAATTATCTACGACTTCAAAGTTATGACTGTCAACAGTGACATAGCAGCCAAGTCGCGAATGCGATGACTGCTAGTTTGATGACAGGAGATATTTTGTCTTTCCTCTATCAGTACCAAGCCCATTTGCTTGGCTTCTTTATCAAGCCTGGAGAAAGCAGAACTAACGGCGCGCTTTTTGAGGCCAATAATGTCAATATCATCGGCGTACACCAGTAGTCGTACACTCTTTTAGAAGATTGTACCTTCTCTGTTCAGCTCTGCAGCTCTTTTTATTATCTCCAGTATCAAATTGAAGAAATCACACGACAAAGTGTCACCCTGTCTAAAACCTCGTTTGGTATCGAACGGTTCGGAGAGGTCCTTCCCAATTCCAACCGCGCTTCTTGTGTTGTCTATCGTCAGCTTACACAGCCGTATAAGTTTTGCGCGAATACCAAATTCAGACATAGCAGCATAAAGGCAGCTCCCTTTCGTGCTGTCAAAAGCGGCCTTAAATTCGATCCTCTTTTCACTGGTATTTTCCAAGATTTGGCGCATGGTGAATATCTGGTCAATGGTTGACTTACCAGGTTTGAAGTCACACTGATAAGGTCCAATCAGTTTTTTGACGTTGGGCTTCAATCTTTCACACAATACGATCATCAGGACCTTATAGGCGATACTTAAAAGGCTTTCCCCACGCAGACTGTGGGGACCCCTTTTTATGGATTGGCAGAGCACACTTAAATTCCAGCGGCGGGCATGCTTTTGTCCGACCATATTTTAGAAAGAAGCTCATGCATGCACCTAGTCAGCTCTTCACCACCGGTAGGCCGTCAGCTCCCGCCGCTTTGTTGTTTTTTAAGCGGTCGATTGCTTTTCGATGGTCAGGTAATGGAACGTCTTTCCCATCGTTATCGATTGGGGTTCCGGGTTAACCATATCCGTCTTCTCCACTTTCGCTACTATTCAGCAGGTTGGGGAAGTGTTCCCTCTACAAATTCAATATACTCTGGGCAAAGTGAGGGTGACTCAAATATGTTTGAAGTGAGCAAAGTTAAGGTTTTTATATTTGGAACGTTATGATGCCCACCTTTTTTATAAGAAAATATATCTTAAAAAGCCCAAAGTAATTTCTCTTCCTTAAAAAGTGATAAACAATTTAACATTGTGAAATTAAGTTGAAGTTGAGCAAGGAAACGAGACTTTTTTGCTTAAAAAAAGCCAGACGCCGAATAGAGTGAGTGTGATGAGCTTGAGAAGCTGACCGACCATGATAATGCTTGAAAATTCTACGACAAAATACGTTAACTTGTAGAAATTTTTTAAACCGGAGCATGCTTATGTAGAACCCAAAGAGCTGATCTAGCGACTTATGGAGGAAACACCTCTCCAGCATGCTGAAGTGCATTGAAAAGAAAACTTCAGGAAATGGCTAAAGTCAGTTTCTATTCTGCGACGACGAAAAAACGTTTCATTGTCAGACTCTGAAAAAGATTGAATAGCAATTGCCCGCCTATAATACAACAAAGCACCTGGAATTCCTTCAATTTTTAAGAAGAACATCAAGACGCATACCACTTTCACTTTTTTGCTTCTCTGTGATGAATTCATGCGTCAACAACAAAGCTTGCTGTTAGGAAGATTAAAATGGTAAAGTTTGTATTAAATTAAAGAATATTCGTGAGGAATAGTTCACCACCGACATATTCCATTCATCCGAAATCGTTCACCTTACCAGGATCAGAGTTAGATTTCGGGTGAACAGCAGTTCACGTCGAAATTTCGTATTTGAGTTGACAGATGACAAAGCTTCATATAAAATTTCAACAAACAAATCAAATTTAACGCATTTTGCAAATTTTGAAGTTTTAAAATGATTATTATTATTATTTTGATAATAGTTAAACAGTAGATGGAATTTTGCAAAATCAAAGAGCCGCTCCCAGAAAAATTAGGGATAATTCAAATCCTCTTGAATTGCAGGATCAATTGTAAATATTCTCCGATTAGTCACTATAACGTAATTTGTGATTCAAATGGTATACATGCTATTTGTCATTGTCCCTCTAGATTTCAGAAATACTACAGGCCCAACAAAACAGCATTTAGAAATTTATTAGATATTACAACAGAGAAAAACTTCAAGTCCAATGAAATCCTTTGGAATTCCCACAATAGTAAAGTTAGCTGCTTCACTCCGTTAATTGCTGAAGGAGCCTACCTAAAGGGTATCGGTAGGAAATATGATGTGGGATTGTCACAATCTGTCTTTAGCGCCATACTAGAAGACAAGGTTGACGTGCTGAAAAAGAATTTATCTCATTTATGGATAAAATGGATGAGCGGCGTCGAGATGAAAAGTGCTGCTTCTAAAACTCATGATAAGTACAATATTTCGAGTGTTATGGGGTGCATTAATGGTACTCGTACAAAAATTTGTGATACCAAAACACAATTAGCAATCTTTTTATAAAAGGAAAGTATAACTCAGCTTAAATACTCTTGTTGCAAGAACAATTTTTACATTATGTGCATGTATGTAGTGTAGAGATATGATTGTTTCTTAAATTTTTAGGTTTGTTCCCAAAACTTGAGATTTCGTTTTATTGATGCGTCGCATTTAGGAGCTTGTCACGATTCTTTAGTGAGCAACGTTTTAGAATTAATAAATACCTTTGCAATAATCGTATTTAATTTTGGAGGTGCTTGCTTGGAGCTAGAGAATTCGATTATAGTCTACAAAAAGCAGCTAAAATATAAAGATGTTTTTGCTTTTTTTGATATAATTCAATGACCAGATTTTGATGAAGAGGAGTCTCTAGTGATTATAGTAGAGAACGACACAAATTTAGGAATGCAAAGAATGATCGAAACTCAAGTACAAAGAATTACAAACCAGATAGCTCACTCATTCTCTTGAAAAAAATAGTATTCCTTCATCTTTACACAAAAATTTATTTATTCATTTATTTCTTCATTTATCACTATAAATCTAATTCTACGAATTTAAAACGTGTTTCAAATTAAATATATTTAAATAATGAAAAAACTAACGTTACCAAATGAATTTTAGTTAATGGCATTAAAACTAAAATATAGCAAATATTAAGTTATTCTTTCATCACTGAAAGCTTCAATTTTTCAATTTCTACAATCCTTCTGTTTTTTTCTAACTTTCCTTCAATTGCTCTTTTTCTCAAATTTTCCATTTCCATATTATGCCGCTTAATTTCTATCGTTTATTTTTTTATATCTTTTGATTCTTGTTCCTTTAAATTATTTAGAATTGTGAAGTTTTTATGTAACGCTCTTATCTGTTTTAAGAGTTCGTTTTGAACTTCTTATTCTAATATCATAGATGTGTCCTTTATGTTACGGGATGTTAGAGGACGGCACTTCCTTTCGGCAGTTTCTGATGCTCTTTTCTATAGTTTGCTGTGGACTTCCATTTACATTGTTTCCGAGACCAATTCACTTTCAGTGGTACACAGCGGTTCCAATCCATGTGACCATATTCCGTCTAAGCTCTCAATGATATTTTTCAAAGAAGAAATTGCGACAATAGCTATTAAGAAAATAGTTTACATGGGACAATAAATATTAAAGACTGCAAAACTGCGGCAGTAAACAAAAATATTCAACTAGGATTCAAAAGTTGTGTTCAGTGAAAGAATATATTTCTCTTCAAGAGCTCATGCCTTACCAAAATGGCTAAATGGTATTTTCTCATATGTGTAATAACTATATATTTTATGTATATAAGTCTGCATATGCTATATACTCTAAAAAATACCTCACATTGAATTGGTTAAGACTTGACTTATTTCTTACTAAACTTTTACAAAGAAAAGTTAGTTAAGTTAACTTGGAAGATTGGCTAGTACCAAGTTACTATTATGAGATATTATGAACTCTTACATTTCTTGTCCCAAAATCGATTTTAAGCTCTTTTTCGATAATAAGAAATATTTGTTTAGTGTAGTCAGCAAAGTAGTACAATATATGTTGAATGAGAGAAAAGTATGCAAAACTGACTTGCCCTTGAAAGGTGCATCTAGTGCCTCAACCTTTAAAATACGCATGAAAATTTAAGTTGTTAATTTGAGTTTGTCATTGCTTACTTAGTGCACATCGGCAGCTGGTATTTTTGAACCTCAAGTTTACATTTTGACAAATCCACAATTATAGATATATAGACTCGAAGAATTATACTTATACTTATATCCTCGAGCTGCTCGAAAATGTTGGATATAATGTACACGTAGATCCATATGTTTAAATGGATGAATTGCTTGTTTAGTGTAATACCATTATTAATTTTTTTCATATTACAAAAGACGTTAACGTACGAATGCTCGTTAATACAATTATCCAATAATAAGAATGTAGCATTCTTACTATACAAAAATAACGTCATTTTGAGCTTTATTTTCTGCGGGTGCATTGTGCACATATGCTTGTTAACTTGAGGAAAAAAATCTTTAAAAAAATTGTTGTATGAACTGATTATCTCAATATGAAGAACCCGAATTCCATTAAGAGAA